AAGGGGAAAGCCCATTAAAAAGTTTCTGACTGTCCCCCTCCCCTTTTCCAGCTGCCTGCCGGTCCAACATCAGATCCTTCGTACGTGCGTGCGTGAGACGATAGTTGAGCCCCCATGTGGGTGAGTGTGTGACGGCGGGTAAGAGATGAGAGGGAGTTTGTGTTTTCTTTTTAGGGGGGGCGGGCGAGAGGAGCGAGGAGAGTACGAGATTGGGGGCCAGTGTTTTGAGCCACCGCCAGCAGACAATGGCGGCCTCGAACGAACCCTCGTCCCGGAACGGTTGAGCGGGATGTGGTCTAGGCAACCCTTGGCTCCCCCTTCTTTCGCAGTTCCGACACCGTTACACGCTCGCTTCCTGACCTCGCGGCCCTTTAGATTTAGGGAAGGGGGCGGGATTAGGTCCGCCGCCAATGGCTTTCCAAATCCCCCCCCCCCCCCCCCCCCCCTCGAGGAGGAGGGGGTTGACGGACGATTTCTCGTCTTCATTTTCTGACAAGACATGAGAGGCTGAGGGCAAGGAATGGTCTGGCAGCCCGCCAAGGCGGCGGAGTCTAGAAGCGTGTTTTGGGATAGAAGGATTCTTCATCGACTTTCGCGTCGATCGCCCCCCCCCCCCCCCCCCCCCCCCCCAAAAAGCCAGGGTTTGCGCCACACTATCCGGCATCCGTGTCTGGCAGCCTGTCGGGTCTGCCGTCCACGGTTCCGCCGTGTTCGGCGGGCAGCGACTCCCTGTCCTGTTGGTCCCCGTCCCGGCGCCGACAACCATCGGCCGCGTCGTTGGCCTGTTGAAGAGTCCAACGAGAGAATAAAAATCAAGTATGGGGAGCACTCAAGGCCAATTCTGAAGCCCCCACCGACACATTCCCATGTCTCCCGCGATCCCGCGACGGCGTGTCGAGGGCTCACCGCTCGGAAGAGTGGTGACACGTTTTGCTGACTTTTGGTAAACGCACGACGAGAAAACGAGCGTCCAGGGCACATCCCAGCCGAAGCTGAGATAGGGATCCTGGACTGTGCGGGGGCGGCGGCGGATGGGATGCGCGCTTGAGATGTGTATATCCCGAGCGTACTGGGCGTGTGTGTTTGAATGGTCTTGCATATTTGAAAATGGGATGACACGAGCTTGGATCTCAGAAGTCTCCTCCCTCGGCGGTAGCCCGAGTGTGATACGTAGAGGTTTTCCTTGGAGGAGAGGAGCCCAGGCTCGTCGGGAGAGGTGTCGCGGAACTTTTGTTGCGGAACTTCTGTCGCAGGACTTCTGTCGCAGGAAGGCGGCTAGCACTCGACAGCCAGAGAGGGAAATCGGGGCGCAAAACGCCTTGTAGGATCCGGCTTGTTAGACGCCGAGCGGGCCTTTTCTGACAGAGCCGAGGCATATGAGTCTGGGAGTTGAACCTCAGTTTCGCCACCACGTCGAACTGTTACATGACAAGATCCAAGGCATCAGAGCCAAAATTGGCTCTGCTGCATCGACGAAGGTCAATCAGGCGCCCGCCCCGAAGGCTTCGGCATCCCTCAAGGGGCGTGTGGCTGCGGGAAGAGGCCAACGGCGGGGCCGACACTTGGAGGCGGGAACAGGGTCCAATGTGCGTCACAGCTCGGGAGGGGCCAATGGACGAGGACTTTGTGAAGTCAGACGCTCTTTCGTCTAATCTGCTACGGGGTAAGCCTGGCAGGAAGCAAAGCAAAGCAAAGCAAAGCAAAGAACAAGATAGGACGAGAAGCGCTGACGGGGAACGTTGGGCGTGTACAGATTTGGAAACAAAGCGTGGCTGGGGATAAGAAGCCAAAAGGCTGGGTGTGGCCCAGCAAAACCAGGCACTAGCCTTATTCGGCTTCAAGTTTCAACGACGACGGGCGATTTTTGGGTTACGATCAGGGACACGCGAAGGATCGCGATGGGACAAGGGGAGGGGGTGAAGACCCCGGGGCGTTGCAAACGCGGTGGAGGGTAGTGTGAGCGAGATGAACAACAGCAGGCTCGGTGGTCTGCGAGTCTGAAGAGAAACCGCGGCTATCTATCGTGACCGGGGCTCCTTGGCGAAGGTACGACTTGGTGTGCGCATCCGATGATGTCGGTGACAGGTCAGCATGTGCGCAGGTCGGGGTAACTCGTAAGATGAAGACGTCGAGTGCATATCCGGTGGATGGTGAACGTGGGGGGGGCAACTCCCGGCCGGCGGGCTAGATAGGCATCCTGGAACACTGGTGCCTGATCTTGGTTAGATACAGAGGTCAGTAGGACGAAATGACGATGTTTGCAATGTTTCGGGCGGCATGACGGCTGCCGCATGCGAAGAAGTGCAGAAGTGTCGAGCAGTAAGGCCAACCCAGGACCGACGGCGACTCCGGCCGACGTGGTGGGAGAGACGGGGGGGCACGGCGTTGACCGGTGGACTAAAGTGGGTACAGGACTTTTGATCGCACCTTGATGGGAAGAGGCCCTACTAGCCCTGGCGTCTGTGATGTGGTTCAGTCCTCGGTGGCTTGCTTACTGCGAGGCTGTGCTGGGGGCTAAGGAGACAAGGGACATCGTCTCATGCACTACCTATGGCTGGCAACAGAGTGAGATGGAGATTGATACATGCGCATGCATGTACCTACCTGTACCTGGATGACGTCCAGTAGCAGGTCGAGGACTGTTGCAGCTTCGGTCGTCGTCCAATCGCTTGCGCTCCTTCTAAGACAACGGAACCCTTACATTCACTGACAATCCCCCGCAAAAAGCAAAATGTGTAGTGTATTCATTTCGCTTGAAGCAAGTTCGTTCAAGATGCAGGGCATGGCCATGGTCCGATCTCTGTTTTGAGCTTCGCGCTCCTGGGCTTGTTTACGACATCTGTCATTCAGGGAACGGCTTCCTGGGCCCGGAAGTCGAACCGAACCCTATCGTGTTAGGTCTCTGGTGTGTTGTTTCAGAGCCACGGGCATAGAATACCTAGACATGGTATCAGACCGTTATGTTGGAGCTTGGAGAGAGGCGCATGCCTGGGTGCACTGCATCTGCATCTGCAGGGTCGAGATCACGTTGCCCGGACCATGACTCCTGTCCGGGTTTGGGTTACACAAAAGACTCGCAGCATCGTGCGAGTTGTCGCGTTCTTTTTGTTTCTTTATCTCCTTGTCTTTTTGCATGGGCGGGAATGTGCGGCAGTCTTTGGAGGGTGTACCGCAGCAGCTTGCCGCGGGTCTTGCATCGGGCCCGACTTGCTCAAGATGCATCGGCCCCAACATGATAGTGGAGAGCATGTGTTGGCTTTGCATCTTCGGATGCAGCGCATTGCCGCGAATGCGAGGCATTTGTTGGGTGGCCGTGGGTGACGGGGCTTTGCCGAACTGAACCTGAACCCACTTGGTCGTTGTCTTTACGGGTTCCTGGGCCCGTTCCTGAGCGACCCGATCGACGACCGGTTGGGAAAAGGCCCGTCTGGCTGTGGCCAGCAGTAGTTCATCGATCGGGAGACGGCTTTGGAACGACCGGGCTGAGAGAGACAAGACCCTGGAATATGGAGAGTGAGACTGGGTGACGACTGACGAGCGATGCGGACCGCATTGCAATGAAGCCTGGGCGCTATCGGTATCATGGAGACGAGGAGGTGATGTGTATCTTTTTCGGCATGGCCAGTGACGAAGGCCAAACCCTAGTCACGACCGCTGCAGACGGGCGAAGTGTAAAAGGTCGCATTGCAGAAATGCGGTTGCGTGGATGTCGTCAAGCAGTCCTAGCCAGGTGTAGTGAGTGAGTGAGTGTACCTACAGAAGAAGTACCGGACTGTGTGGTACGTAGCTCGTGGGAGATGGGTCTGTCTGTTAAGGGGAGGGGCATAGCACGTGAGAACCATGCCTGTCAGGACCAGTGAAACGAGCCAATCAAAGACTAGCTTTCGTAATGACACATGAACTTGCCCTTTTTGGACAATGTGCATCCCCGACTGCTCTTGCCAACCATTACCACGGCATCGCAACGTTACTGCCATGCCCAGGCAATCCTAGGCATCCCAGGCAGGCAACACACGCACCCTCTTGCCCTCTCGGGATTTCTCTCCTCTTTCTTTTCTGTCCCGTCTCTCCCCAGAACCTGGAGCTTGGGGTCATGGATGCGCTATGCAGCCGTCCAGGCCCGATCATGGGCCATGTCTCGAGGTATCTCTCTTCTCTATGTCGCATTCTCACGTTGCAGTTAGTTGCTCTGTCATCCACTACCGCGTGTGATCGCACCTCCTCCGGCTATGCATTTCTTCAACCACCATCACCACCATCACCATCACCTCCACCACCACCACCGCCGCCACTACCACCACTACCACCACTTACACGCGCCCATTCCGTTCTAAATCCATCCGCTGACTTGCGTCCCGGTGCCTGCGTTGACCGACAACCTGCAACCTCTGTCCCCGGCCTTCCTCTCCATCATCAACTACTCGTTGACGCTGTTCTGGGCTCCCTCAATCTACCGCGCTAGGCTCTGCACCGCGCGTCAGTACACACTCACTACCTACGCAAGTCGGTTTGGCATGTGCATGCAACTGCTTCTGGCGCATCATCAAGTCAACTTGGCGAGGCCCCAGAAGACTGAATGCTCGATGCCAATACCGGGTGGTGTCAAACAGCCTCGCAGGGACGGAAACCAACAACTCGTCATGACACCTAGGAAACCATCGCCAGCATAGGTAGCCTTGACTAAAACACACCGCCCGTACCTACTTTTGATGCCACCCTGTACCAATACCAATACCGGAGCCTTGGGTGGGGAGGGGAGTACTTGTCGATCATAGTCTCAAACATGCGTTTGCATCGGTCGAATGAGAGACTCTCGCCATGAGACCTGCATTGGCCCGTTTACGGGGATGGACGGGAGCCGTTGCGCCCAAGACGCGTTTGGCCTTGCCATTCTCTACATTTGCGAAAACTCGGACATGTTTACCGCGGTCGACCCAAGCGTCTCCCCTCCCTCCAGCGAGCACTGACATCCACCACCCCCTGGCATGGCATGGCATGGCATGTCATCTCATCTTCAAACATCCCCAGGGGCCCAGCGATCCAAAAAGCTGCCCGCCGTCGCTCACCAGGTGCCCGGGTCTGATCTCGACATGGCCTCCAATGACGACATGCTGCTAAGCGCGTTTGATCTGACCATCCTCCCGATTTTTGGGGAGAAAGTGGGACGTTCGCATGCAGAAGCTCCCGGTCGTTATCAGCACCAGCATCGATCGGGCACGTACTGCGGCCAATGGGCGCATGCATACGAGCACCAGGTCCGGTGGAACCTGTACTTGGCGACCAGCACAGCACAGCCTTATCCTGGCAACATGCGGTCGGCAGCAATGGTCATCTCACCTGCCATTAATGCATGGCTATTATTTACCGTCATTGTCAGCACGAAGCCTTTTTCTCCTTCGTCTTGCCTACTGTCTATGGCCAGTGCTTGCAAGTTGCGACCAGTACGGCACCTCCATCTATATTCGGCATCTCGACAGGGACGACGAATGCCTCCATCTCAGCGCACCCCATCTACCCTGTCTGGGGTATGCTTATTGTCCACTAAGGATACAGCATTGTGCTCTTGGCACCGAGTTGATCTGGTTTACTTCTGTACGACGAGGATCCAAAGTGCTCACTCGCATGCCAGCCCATCGCAGTGGAAGCTTTGTGCCGAATCCGGCACGGTACCTGATACGTGGTTCGACCGTAAGAGGAAATCAGCCAACTGCCCTGAATCCTACCGAGGCGGTTTTCCCCTCTTGCTGGTTTTTTCTTTCTTTCTTTTTTGTCTTTTTTTTTTTTTTTGCGACAAGTATCGCAGGCCTCAATGTGCGGGCGGCGGATCGTCGTCAGAGCTCCATCCATGTCAATTTCAATAGCGCACCGGCAAAACAAGATGCCTAGGCCCCTGGCAAATTGGCTCCCTATCCTAGTCGACAGGGCTCCGCAGTCACTACGCTCTGGAACGGACGAATTCTATGGAGCAGTTTGCGAGCCTCTGACCAGCATACCCCTTCTCTTAGCGATGGCAGCGTACGCGAATGGGCCGACGACATGGTGCTTGTCTAACCGGCCTCTCATTTGTGGGCATGGCTGGTGAGCTGAAAATACACGGCATGGACGAAGATGGGCTTCACACTCGATCGCTTTAGGCATTTCTGCCAGGCCAAGGAAGCACTGAACGCACCGCCGTACCTTGATGTTCCTCATCGAAGGAATTCCGTGGCATCACCGGGCGACCGAGGACGATGACGGCGTTAGACATGGCTAAGCGTGAGAACCCTGTCTCTCTCGCTGCAGAGGTGCAGAATCAGCCTTGTCGTCCAAGACACGGTGCTATCTTGGGTTCGTACGCCTCCCTGCCTGCCTGCCTGCCTGCGTGCTGCTATTACTGCCGCTGCCGCCGCCGCTGCAGCAGTGGGTGGTGCTGATATCGAAGCCCAGTGCAACCAGCCGATAATAGACACTTGGGAGTCTCTGCTTCGTCCTTGAAGCACAACCATATCGCAAGGCAGCGGCAGTACCATTAACCAGTACCTCGCAGAGAGCAGCAGCGCCTGGGTCGGCAGCAACGCGCATGGTGGTGGGGGGGGCCTCTCTGTGTATTACTCTGCTTCCAGAAATGTTTTCTCGGCGCAAATCGCCATGCAGCTGCACCACCCTCTTCCATGTCGACTTGCAGAGGCACATCGCAAAACAAAAACCAATTCGGGTTCCTCGATTCTGTTTCATTCGTACAACCACCCACCCATGCTTATCCCATCCTATCGCGCATCAGCCCTGCTGCACCTCATCAACCCAAAGTATGGGGACAGGGTCGGCGGTGTCCATTTCAAGAGATGATTCAGTCGGGAAGGATGAAGATGACTCTTTCGACCCAGTTCCCCATGGCCGTGCTGTATGTACCATGACCTGCCCTGGTATCCCAGCATCCATCACACCCCCATCCCCATCCACACACCACCACCTTCGATGCCCTGTCCACTGTACACACACACGCCCCCTCCTCCCCAGCCCGTTTTTTGGCCTCTCACGCCCTTTCTTCGCATGCTCACTTCTGGGTATCTCGCATTCTCTCATCTCACACCTTTTCCCTTGCTGCGCCTTACAGGGCCATGATGGTAGGTGCAAGGCACCCTTTCCTGGTCTTTGCCCTGCGCCATCAGGTCCTCTGTATGCATTTCGCTCTAATGCACAAGATGCAGCTTTAGTCATTGGTCTCACTCAGATGACATCCGCCGTCCATTGTCAAGGTCCACTGCTGCCTTAGACCTGGGACGTTTCTCTGCGAACTGTCTCCCGTGTGACGGTTGCCAGGCTGCCAGACCTATAAGGCCGTGATGCCTTCGCTCGTTTCCATCTCTCTGTCTCCTATCAGTCCCTGTATAATCCATCACGATCACAATCACTTGAGTTTCCTTTCCTATTTCCTTTGCCTGCCTCGTCTCCCTTGCTTCTTTGCATATTTGGCAGCTCTCAGTCTCACTGGTCATCATCACGCATCTCGATCCCTCCCATCAAAAGCCAACAACACACCTTCTCGACCAAGATAAAATCGTCCGGTCACTCCTCGCACATCACATCAAGAGCCTTCTGGAACCATCAATTACATCGATAGACTCTTTTGTCAGCCAACTCACCCCTTTCCGACCTTCACAATGTGTTATCAAATCGTCGAGCTCTACTCTGCTTGCCGCTGCCTGTACTACCAGCACGCCATCGACAGGTGCGCTGGATATGGACGCCCAGGACACAGCATCCAGAAGAGGACAATCTTGGTCGGATACGCCTGCAGCGCACACTCTCAAGGCCACGGACAATACGCCTCGCAATACACGTACTCGGACTCTGGCTACCAATCCAGCCACTACCGATGAAACGTTTTGTCTTCGGTGATGGGCTGCTCTTCATGGCGCTCCCCCACGCTGGCACTCTTCGAGTTCAGCAACTGGGTCACCTACCTCTACTCCTTCAGAGGAAGGTCGACCTCTCAGACGCTGCCCCCTTCCCAATTGTCTCTACTCTTCGTCGGCCACGACCGGTTGATGTCATCGTCGGCGCCTCCTGATATACGATGACTATCCGTAGATGGTCACCACGAGCTCTTCCACTCCAATCATCTCCACTCGGCTCAAATCACTCTACAGCTCTCACGCCCCGCCATGAAACCCAGCAACGAATTTATCGAAGACAGAGACGAGATCACGAACGTTATGGAAAACGTTTTTGACGGCCTTTCAGTGGCCGCCACCAGTGCGCTACCAATAAGCGACATCATCCACCACGCCCGCGTCCCTCCCCCCCTGCCTTCTCTCTGGTCCTGCTCAATCTTTGAAATCTATTCCACGTTTTCATCTCGGGGGGTTTCTCCGCTCTTTTCTTCCAACTTTTTCATGGGAAAAATTTCCTTCGTTTTCGACACAGAATTTGCATAGCGCTGGCATTGGGTTTTGCATTGGGCGGTTTGGGTGGAGCGCAAGCATACTAGATATGCCTCAACTTCTAATTGGCGGGTCCTCATCCTTCTCTGCCTTCAAGGCATGGGGTTTTTTCTTTTTCTTTTTTGGAATTTTTTTGTTTGGGTTGTGTTTTTTATTGTGCTCTGGCTGAGAGAAGGTTGGGCAGAGCGACGGCATGTTTCGGTTTCAGAGAAACTCGGCAACGGCTTCATTTTCAACTTTTTGTATTTTACGCACGGGATTCGATGCATCGGGCGGGTGAGCGGAAGGATACCAGGCGTTCAGGCTCGGGGAGACAGAGGTATACACACCTGTACATGCGATGGACGGCAGATTCATCTGGGTGAGCGAAGCTTCTTGCTACTGTTTATTGTTTCAAACATTTTCTCCAACCCCCTCTCTGTTATTTTCTGCGTACTCTGAACGGTTCTCTCCCCCCCTCCTTTTCTTTTTCTTGCCAAAATCTTTCTCGTTTGTTGCTCTCATATGATCTGTACCATCATACTCGATCAAAGACGGCTCGCTCCGGAAGCAGCGAGGGCAGCAATGACGCGCGCGGCAGCAGGAACATGGACGGCACTGGATGCCATCCAACGGTGGAAGGGCCGCGATGTTGTTTCTTTCTTTTCTCGGCTTTACCCGGATGCTAGCCATCGGGTTCTGCTTGACCAAGACTCGACTCGACCTTTGGCAACTCATTCAGGAGAGGCGTCACTTTGAAAACCCCCCACGATCAGGAACGGAGGGGGGTGACGGAAGGAGACGAGACGTGTCAGCCAAACCTGCAGGAATTGAGCTGGTTCGCGAAAGGGGCCAAGGCGGGGAGGTGTGGGGGGAGGGGTACCTGTACTAGAGATGACACACATTGCATAGACAAAGAATAGAAACAAGCCAAAAAGAAGAATCAAACAACGAGTCTCGGGGCATCCCGGGGAGTGCCAAGCATCCAATGCCTATCGATCATGAATTGTCAATATCCAAGTGGCAAAAAAATAAAATAAAACCGATCTCAGTGTGGGGGCAGAGTCACTCTGTAAGGCAACTACGTAGTAGGACCATGCTTTGCCTAAGAGAAGGAGAGGATGAGAGCAGCCAATGGGGGTGTGGGGGAGGGGAGGGGAGGGGGTGTACTAGAAACGGGAGCAGGCAGAAAGAGGGCCAGTCAGGTAGTTAGTTAGTTAGTTGTACATACCGACGTCTTGTTGCTCACCAGGGAGAGGGGGGGGGGGGGGGGGGGGAGCGGGCGATAGCATCTCTCATTGTCAAAAGAAGAAGGGCAAAAAAAAAAAAGAACATGACTTTACTGAATAGGGCACCAAGTTTCGAGGAGGACCGTTCTGCGAGGAAGGATTCACGCGAATCACACTCGGGGTGTGGAGGGGGTGAACTTTATTTTGAGGATGGCGGGCAACATTTGGTATCACCTGTCGAGAGGTGTGTGGGGGGGGGGCGTGTAAAGGTAGGGAAAACTGCGGCGTCGAGGCCGGCTGCTCCCTATCACTTCAGGTAGATACCTACCTACCCAGGCACCGGTGTCAGATGCGGCCATCTCTAATACGCCATTGGCTGGCGGGGGGGGGAGGCCTGGCAACAGCCTCGTCGACAGGCGGAAACTCGGATCGGGGTTTTTTTCTTTTCTTTTTCTTTCTTTCTTTCTTTCTTTGTTACCTCCCCAGCGATATGAGAAAGGTTAAGGACAGGGTGAGGGAAGGGAAGGGGGGGGGGGGGGGGAGGCACGAGCGGATAATTACGAGAGCAGGATTACGGGAGGTTCGATGGGTTGTCTCCGGCGGCGGTGGTTCAAGGTGCTGACGTTTGGATGACCGGCGGGAGGAGGAATGGGGGTCGCTGCCGGGTGGCCCTTTTTGCTCGCACGGACGATGTACCGGCGATCATGGCCTAGAGGGGGATTCACGTCTGAAGGTCGTTTCGCCGAGACAGAAGCGGTCTCTCTCTCTCTCTCTCTCTCTCTCTCTCTCTCTCTCTCTCTCTCTCTCTCTCTCTCTCTGGCGCGCGCGCGTATGTATGTGTGTGTACTTACGGGGTGGGTGAGTTTGGGCTGCTTGTACAGTCGACTGATGTGATGCCCGAAAGGAAGCCGGGGGCTAGGGGGGGCAGCTGCAAGGGCTTTCTCGTCCGAGAGGATGAGGCTCCGGAGTCGAGTGCGACGCGACACCCGCGCGGAGGAGGATGACCAGAGGTGGGCAGGGGTGTGAAGGGACGACGGGTACCTGGACAAATACAAGAGATGGGGGGATACGGGACGGTGGGGTCACATCACATCTCGGATTCGAAGAGGGGACTGAAGGGGGGGAGGGGTGTGTCGGAATGGGATGGCAGGTTTCTCGACATGACATGAGAAAAAGAAAGGGGAAAAAAAAAAGAAGGTGACGTCGAATCGGTCCATTGAAGATGTTTGTGTCTCCTGGGCGAGAAAGGAGGAAAAACGGTGTTGTGTGGTTGGTGCGCTCTAGGTTCGGATCGGGGGGGGGATCGAAGTTGCCAAAAATAAATCTATTTTTGGATTATGCCGGGCGCGCGGGCGGGAGGATGAACTGGGAGGGGATAGAGGTGTGGAGCCACTGCCGCGGCCATCGCGGCAGATGGGCCGTGTCAGAAGGGGAGGACAAGCGACAGGAGAGAGAGAGAGAGAGAGAGAGCGCTTTGTTTGGGAATAGCCGCATTTGGACCGCGAACATACTTGGATGTGTGCGTGCGTGCGTGTATGACAGGTGAGCCGGCCGTGCGGGGGAGGTCTGGGTAGTTGATTTGCACGGATGAAAGGTGGTTTGTTTATTGGGTGTGTGTGTGTGTGTGTGTGTGTGTGTGTGTGTGTGTGTGTGTGTGTGGGTTGGGGTCTAAAAATGAACTCTGCCAAGGGGGGAGGGTTGCAGCAGCGAGAAAGAGAGACAGATAGATAGGTGGGAAGATGGAAGATGAGAGTGACTAGGTCTGCGCGGGACTTTGTCTTCGCTTTTCTCCTCCTTTGGGGATGGATTCATTCTTTTTTGGATACCGAGGCACACCTGGATGGGAGGGGATTGCAACGTGGGTGGTTGGGTTTGCCGCTGCCGCGGTCGGTGGCACAGTCAGATGCCAATTATGTGCATCCAAGAACGGGCATAGCAATCGGGGGGGAGACGTGTATGTGTGTGTATTTGTGTGTATGTGTGTGTGAGCGTATGTGTGTGTGTGTCGTGGGGAGTTGAGTGAGTGGACGGGGGGCGGTGAAGGGGGTAAGAGGTACGTAGTGAGATGAGATGGGTGAGGGAGAGGGGGGTGGAGTGAGTGAGATGCTCAATGGCTCTTCTCTCCTTTGCTTAGACGACAGACGCGACAAGGCGCAAGCGAGAAGCGCCTATGGTGGTGTGTGCTGCGACAGCGGCCATTTGGACCGGCTTGACGCTAGGGCTCCGTGTCTCTCGTCTTAGCAGCCTAATCATGCTGCTGCGGATGGCAACTGGATTCCACGGAGAATGAGGTGCCGCACCGCATCTTCGGGAGGCTCTGGTCGAGGTCACGGTACATTTTGAGGTTTCTGGTGGGCGTCAAGACATGATCACCCCCCTCCCCCCCCGATCTGCCAGAACGGAATCCAGAGATATGGATACGTCGCACCGGAGCAGGGGGGGCATGACATGAGATGCAGGCCTCAATTTTTAGATGAGGAGGGTAGCATTTGGTCATCGTATGATTTGCCTGAGACCAGATACCCCTGTTCGAACCCATCTGAACTATCTTGTAGCCGGCTGTACTATGTATGCAATGCAGGCCTCGGGCATCGAGGGCCCAGGGATACGGTTGGTGGTTTCCCCCATTGTTTCCGTTTGTTCGTCACATCCCACCATCCACGGTGAAAGGGGAGGGGTACTGGGGTGTTGAGGATTGGTACTGGTTTTCTTTGGAGGGATTTTTATTTTATTTTCATTCTTAATTTTTTTTTTATATCCTGTGATGCTGTGCCGGACGGCAGCGGATCGCCGTGACGTGCATCGGACAGAGGAAGCCGAGGAACCCAACCAAGCCTGGAGGATTCGAACAGATCGAGATACCAGCCTCCGGGAGGCGCCTGAAGGAACGAGGTACGACTGGAGGGAGGGCACGGCTGGTCGATGCGTTTCCGAGCGACTGCACTGCGGAAGGAATCGGCCGAGTGTGGGTAACCGAAATGAGGCGAGCAGATGTCGACCGCGAGGGTGCAAAAGCATGGAATCCCATTTTCCCGATGTAGCACGTAGCCGAGCGCGGAGGGGAACCCGGGGCTTCTGTCAGACATCAGCGATACTTGGTCCTTCTCCTCTCGGTTGTGTTACATCCCCCTCCCGGCTAGGCAGTCGAATTGTTGTGCTATCGTTTTGTTATTACCCTTGATGCTGGTGAGTCTCGACGGCTGTTGCGACGTAGCAGGCGGGCGTGCGGGCGTATGCGAGAGAGAGAGAGAGTGTGTGTGTGTATGTGTGTATGTGTATGTGTTGTATGTGTATGTATGTGTGTTTGCAGGCGTATCCCCGCAAAACCACGTCGTACGGGTTTTCCTTGAAATGATGCAGATGCGGGATGCGGTGCCAAACTACCTATTGGATGGATTCTAATTTTGGGGGCGAGGCGGGAGACCGGGCTCAGCGCCGTCTAGTAGTACCTGTACACACCGCTTTGCTGGATAGGGAAGTAAGGAAACAGAAGGAGGTGCGCCAGAGGAGGTGGTGGTTTTTGGTTTCCCTCTTCCCTCCTGATTGGGCATGTTCCGGGCGACGAAGAAGGTGGTGCTGCCAGGCGGCCATGCAGAGTCGTCCGCGGTCGTCCGGGAGGCCGGTTGAGCTGAGCATCGCTCCGGGCCCACGGAAGGATGTGTTGTGCGGCATGTTACGCCGTATGCATGCGTGCATAACCTGGGTAGGTACATACGAGGTCCTGATCATCGTGCCTCTGCCGGCCTTGCTTGCACACACCCTGCTAGGCCATGACATAATTAGACTACGGTGCATGCGTGAAGGTGTAGAAACGGGACTTTTTTTTGCATACGTAGTGTTCGTTCTGCAGTAGGCTGGGATACGTCGCGTGTTCTGGCACCGGTGAGCCGGGGAGGACGCGCATGATTGACGCTTGCTGGTATGGGGATGCATCGCAGCACATCTCTTGCCAGTCGCCGTCATCGCCAATCCCAGCGCCCGCCGAGGCCCGGTTCCTGAAGATTCCCTCCCCAATCGGGAACCCGGTTCGAGATGCGACGTTGCCTGGACCTGTCGGTTGTTGCCTGGAATGGGGTCCGCGGGGGGGTTGGACAGGGAGCAGGCGAGCAGCGCCGCTCAGGGATCATCACTATCAGGTGGACGGCACTGAGCACTAGGGAAACACCCTCCTCGACCTTGTCGGCGTGGAGCATAGACGTCCGTTTCTTTGGGGGTGGGGGGGGGTCATGAGGTCAGCTGTGGCTGCGTGGTGAGGCGGGCGGTAGGCGTGACAGGTGGGATCGAGGCTCAGTCATTCGAGGCAGATGTGTGAGGTGTATATCGCAGGGCGCAAGAACAGAACGGGTGAGTGGCGTGGACGAAGGGCGAGCGCAGATGCGAACCGTAGGAATCGGTAAGGAGCCGCCGCTTGTCGCCGGGACGGTGGCGGTAGGATTCAACAGGATCGTTGGGGGAGGCAGTTCGGGGGGGGGACTTCAGTCTAGCGCGACGGGTCCTGTTTGGTTACATAGTAGCGAGCTTGATGGTATCACTGGGTAGGTAATTGGGCTATGCCGTTACAGCATGAAGTCACATGGCTGTGTGTTTGGTTCACTGCCTAGTACCGGTATCCATCCGCAGTGTCGTTGGTCAATCGGCCATCGATGACAAATCCAAAGTTGGGATGGAGGAGAGTTCCGCACGACCGCCAATGTTTGTTTGCACGCTGAAACTGCCCGTTACGTGCTATGTAGGTAGGCAGCTCGAGATGCTTTTGGAGGGGCCGCTCCGGCAGCAACTGCCAGCGGTTACAGTGGGGGGTGGGGGGGCCATTAACGGAGGACGCCCGGTTCGCGTCGCGTCACAGTCGCGCCCTTCGTCCCGCAACGTCACCGCGAACCTCGGAGCTTTGAACGTCCACCACGGCACCAGCCCATCGTCCGCCGGCCCCGAGCCTTCACTTGTCCGCCGGGTTTCTTCGCAAGACCTTGAGGACCCGCCGAGACGAGACGAGATGCGACTTCTCCCTGCTTCCCCGCATTAGCTAGCTGGTTGTATACCATACCCCTCCTCCCTCTATCCCGCTTCTCAGACGAGCAATAGCTTCATTGACTTGATCCCCCCCCCACGTGAGTACCCGATAGCACCATTCACGTGACCTTGAATAACACAGTTCAGGTACCTGCATCTCACCAAGACCTTTCACGTCTCTCATCCCGCTGCGGAATCCTTCATTGCGCCCACCTTTCCAAAGCTGTCCGGCTGTCTCGCTGGGCCCGTTGACTTAGTTCCCGCGCTTTAAGGTCTCCGCATTATACGGGAGACATGGCGCCTCCCGGCCAGCTTCCCCGCGTCCGCTCTTCAGAGGCGTCAATCGAGAAGGGCCGCATGGCCTACGCGGACCAACGCTTCCGCGTCGCCCTCGAGCACTTCACCCTCGTCGCCGGAAACTGCCCCTGCTCGAATCCCCGTGGTAGCGGTCCGGGGACCTCCCAGGGATCCGGGTCGGGGGCCGACCACCAACAGCGCCGGCGGCGAGAGAGGTGTACGTGCCGAGACTTTGGCCAGGCCGCGGCTCGGCACAGCCGCGAGAGGGGCAGCGTCTACGCCGAGGCCACCAAGGAGTGCAAGTGCGGCGCCGAGAAGACGTGGGGCCGCTGTCACCGCGAGAGTCACGTCCAGGCGCTCGACTACCGCGCCGCGTGCTTCGAGAAGATGGGGAACCTGGACAAGGCGAGGAGAGATGCCGAGTGGTTGTTGGAGATTGCGCCGCGGAGGCTGGAGGTGGGTTACCAATGTCCAGCTGTTGTTCCCTTGCCCGGCACTCGCTGTTCTAGCGACGTGAGCTGACTAGCTTCAGGGCTACATGAGGTTGGGCAAGATTTACAGGCTCGAGAAGAAGCCGGAGATGGCGTGGGCCGCGTGGTGTGCCGGCCTCGAGGTCGGCCAGAAAGAGGGGCTTATCGGCACGCCCAAGTACGAGGTACGTGACGTGGACGAGCTGGTCGCCCGACTTCTGCTGACCGTCTCTGCAAGCAACTCGGCAAGATCCGGGAACCGCTACATAAACACTTCTGTCGGAGGGATCCTCTCGAGCTGCCAACCGAGCTGATCGAAAAGATCTTTTCATATTTCGAGTTCCAAGAGTTATGGTGCGTTACCCTCGGCGCCTTGATCCCGCGAGACGCCTCTGCTCTTATAACCCCCCCTTCCTGACATCATCGCAGCCGAGTATCGGGCGTCTGCAAACGATGGGACCACTTCCTCGACACCCACCCCTACATCTGGCGCGAGGTCCACTTCCCGACCCTGAATCCTCAGAAGCCGCCCAAGGTCTCGTTTCTCAAGACGCTGCGGAAGCGCACCGGCGGCGGTGCCCGCAGCCTCGTCATCCCCAACGCCCATTCCTTCCAGCTCAACGAGAGCAAGTGGCTGTCGCTCATCCAGACGACGAACCCGCAGATGACGACCCGCCTCGAGATCGGCTACATCAAGCGCAACCTCGAGGGCGACTGGGGCTACAAGCTGCCGCCGAAGCCGGTCTTCTTCCAGGGCGTCAAGGAGCTGCGGCTCAGCTTCCACGAGATCACTCGGCCGGCGCCCCACGGCCGCGGCGGCCCGCAGCCTTTTGTCAGGCAGTTCGTCGAGCGCGCGCGCGAAAACCTCGAGGAGATACTGCTCTTCGGCATGTATCTGCAAGACCTGGGCTGGCCCGAGCTGCCTCGCCTGAAGGTGCTGCAGTTGACCGGGCCTCTCAACTCGCTAATGAACCAGCTTACGCCCGAACGGCGGATCGACCCTGTAAGTTCTCGTCCCCGCCGTCTGTCTGGTGGTGGCGAGAGAGATCCGAACTGACGCAACCCACCTCTCCTAGTTCGTCCTCGCCCGGGCCACACCGAACCTGGAGCAGCTGTACATGGACAACTTTGGCGTCTTCACCGGCGTCGACTCCCTGTCCCCGCCCGACGACTGCTGGTCCCTGTGGAGGCGCTTGCAGGTGATCAAGCTCGGCAGGGCCTGCGGCGCCCTCTCCATGGGCGACAAGCGCCACTTCCCGCCGCTCCACCCGTCCTCCTTCCGCATCCTCGACGCCCGCGCCGTCCACCAGGGCAACCACGGCGACTGGCTCCCGCAGCAGCTCCCGCTCGACTACTCGGGCTACCCGGCCGCCGGGGGCCCGCCTCGTCGGCGCCCCTGGTCACGTACCCCAACCTCGAGCGGCTGTGGATGCCGCGCCTGCCGCTGAGCGTCGACCTGGCCACCGTGCTGCTCGAGCCCGCGATCCGCTCCGGCCGCCTGCGCGAGCTGGGCCTCTGCTGGCGCCAGGACCCGGGCCAGTTCTTCCCCGGCGCGCTGGGCTGGCTGCGCGGCGCGCCGTCGGTGCGCACCTTTGGCTTCTTCAACTTCGACTTCGAGTCCCACGCCGCGCTGACGCGGGACCCGGCCCACCGCGCCGTCGACCCGACCGACCTGCTGTTCGACTTCCTCGAGGCCTTCCCGAACCTCGACGTCCTCGAGCTGCACTCGGAGCTGTGCGAGCCGCGCCGCATCGCCGCCGTCATCGAGCGCGTCGCCCGCCTCGGCCGCCTGCGCCGCGTGTACCAGAGCGCGCTGACGGGCGCGCCGATGGACCAGCTGCGCGCGTCCTGCGAGGCCCACGGCGTCGAGCTGGTCTACGGCGGCTGGGACCCGCTGTTCCCCGTGCCGCTGGAGCCGCTGGGCCCCGTGGAGCCGGTCGAGGCCATGATGTCGGATATGCTAGCGCTGAAGGACGACTGAGGGGACGCTTGATCGGGGTAGTCGCGGCTCGTCTTCGTGGATGCAATTCCTGTCTATTTTCTGTTCTGGTGGCGCGATGGGGGGGCACACTGTCCGGGAGGTCGGAACGCGGCCAGGGAGCATTAGGCGCAACGGGACGGGACGGGAAGCGCCTTGTCTTACATATACGGGACGGATACATCACGGGAGGACACGAGTTTTGATAGGACATGAACGAGTCAGACACAGTCAGGGAAAACTCACTGGGGAGAGACGATTCAAGAGAGCGTTCGCGGTCTGGTCGAATAAGTGAAAACAACGCAGAAGAGGAAATCAAAGTGGATTAATGTGGTTGTTTCCAAGCTCTCGGCTACATTGTGTGCAAGAAAAGAAAGGAACCCCCCTCCGCGGAACGCATACAAGCCATCGCTATCGTGACACTGTGGTTGGGGTCGGGGGGGGGGGGGGGGGGGGGGGATTTGCAGCTGGGTAGTAACGGCCATGTCGAACATCTCTTATGGCCGTGGGGTAAACGAATGTCGTCTCTCTCTCTCTCTCTCTCTCTCTCTCTCTCTCTCTCTCTCTCTGTGTGTGTGTATGTGTGTATGTGTGTCTGTCTCTCTTCTCCTATTTGGCATCATACTCCCCCCCCCAGATCCCTACGCCCGCCGCACCCCTCTCTTCTCCCCTAGGCTCGCACGACGCTTATCCCAACGCAGTCGTCGCCCTCCACCTTTTGTTCTTCCAAGCGCCGGTTCGGAGCCCCCCGTGTCCGAGATATACTTTGTTTCCTCAAGGAGAAAACGTGGGAGAATAATAGAGAGAGAGAGAGAGAGAGAAAGAGAGAAAAAAAGGTTTGCGGTTTGGTCGTATTATGGCGATTATGGGGTGAGGGAAAGTGGGTATCGGAGAAAGACCCCCTCTGTGGCTCCAAACAGTCAATTTCATCAAATGAAAGAAAAAGAAAAAAAAAGGGAGGGGGAAAACAAAAAGTGTAGAACCGGCGGTCCGTTACCGAGCTGGCGAGGGAGGGACGGCCACGGTGCCCGAGATGAGGCTCTCCATCTCCCACGGGCTGAGCGTGCTCCGCCTCCTCGACGCGACCTTGCTCGCGCGCCTTTCGCGCTTGCGCCTCGCGGGCTGGAGCGGCGAACGCCCCTGGTCCTCGGCTTGCGGGAGGTCGCGCTTGACGGGGTCGAGGTCCCGGTCTGTCCTCGTCCTCGCGGGCGAGCCGTTTGGTTGTTCTGGCTCTGCCGGGACGGCCACGATGGTCTCCGGCGGAGGGGGAACGGGGGGCATGGGCTGCTGCTGCTGCTGCAGCAGCTGCTCCCGCGTTGCGGGGATGGATTTGCCAAGGGCACCGCCGCGGGCAGCCCTGAGCTTTGCACGGACGCGTGCGGCATCGGCCTCGCGCTCCGAGGCGGCGAGCTTGGCCGCAATGGTGGCCAGCGTCAGGGGGCTCTGCTGTGGCGGCGGGTCCGAAGGGCGAGGTAGGGGAAGGCGGGAGGGAACGCGGCGCAAGGGGGTGCGGTGTGGCGACGCGGCTTTGCTGCTGTTGCTATTGGGCTGCACGGCAGGGGCAGGAGGCTCGCCGTCGCAGCTCTCCTGGCTGGTTTGGCTCTCCTGGCTCTCCTGGGAGACTGTACGGACCGTGGACAGGGCCTCCTTTGGTGCAAATACCGCCGGAGCCGCTGCCACCAGACGCGGTGGCTTCGGGAGCTTGCGAGCAGTAGGTGTCTGGTCCACTTCAGGAGGAGGGGTCCCAGACGGTGTGATGAGGGGCGCGCCGTTGTGGGTCGAGTCGGATTCGACCGAAGCCGCAGAGATGGCACGGTGGTGGTGGTCGGCCTGCTGCGAAGGCTTCTGCGGCGACCTCGAGAACTGGACGAGGTGCGGGGGCGGCTTGGGGGGGGCCGTCTCGACCGTACGGACGGTACGGGTCTTCTCCTCGGCCGTTGCGTGGTGCCCATCCTGCTTCTCGCGTCTCGGCCGTGCATCGCGGTTGCCGGCAGATGCCGTCTCGCGGAGCGGACTTAGCTGAGGAGGGGGCGGCAGAGGGGGAGAGCTGATCATTGCAGTGGATTGTTGGAGGATCTGCACGTTCGGCTCCTCGATATCGAGATCTTCGACGTCGACGTCCTCGAAAATGCTCGACTCCCGGTCGCTCTGCTGGATTTCGTCGTCGTACTCCTCCTCTTCGTGGGGAGCCGCATAGTGTTGGTCGGGAGCAGGAACAAGATGCAGAGACTCGACTCTGTGGGGGGCGGGGCAAGGGGAGTCGGGCATCGCCTCCTCTTCGTCCTCGTCTTCGTCGTTCTCGTCTGCGTCGTCCTCGTCGAGATCGGCAGTGCATTCCTCTCGGACGCAGGACAACTCCTGCACGTCCATGCCGCCCTGCTGCGTCTCCTCGACGTCACGCACGCGCACGGGGCTAAGACGAAGACCCATCTTGAGCTCCTCCATGTTGACTGACTTGCCGTCGACAACCATGCGCCGACGCCAGCCATCGATGAGATGGACGGCCTCCTGCCAGCGGCTCTCCATCTTGACCCAGCCAGCACGCAGGCGGGCGATTTCCTCCTCACGGACCTCAACCTCCTCGATAGGAGCGAACGAGGGGTTCGTCAGGATGGAGCGGAGGTGTTCGAGGATGGCGTCCAGCTCGGAGGCCATGTCCTCAGCCGTGGGCAGCGCGACGGCATACCCGTCACCCTGGCTTGTCCGGGCGTCACAGCCGCTCATCTCGCGCAAGCTCTTGGTCGTCCGTCTGACCAAGCCCAGAAGGGCCTCGTTCTCTTCGCTGAGGCTTCTCGCCAGGTCTGTCAAGAACTCGTTCGTCTCGCTGCGGAGGTCGTAGTCGGAATCGTCAGTGCTCGCGCCAGCCTTGCCCTGGCGCCGGGCGGACGCCTTCTCGTCGCCCTCGCCGGCGACGACGCTGATGACGGTGACGGCAGAGCTCTTGGCGGCGCCTCGGGGACGGCCGGCGTCACCGAGTTGCTTTTTCAGCCCGTCGATCTGGCGGTCGCGGCGGCGGACCTCGGTCGCGCAGGAGGCGCGCGTCTGGGCAACGAGCGTCTTGGCGCGCGCCACCTCCTCCTTGAGTCCGCGGACGGCAGCGTCGGCTGACTTGAGCTGGGTGCGTAGCGTGTTCTCGGTGGCCTCGCTGATGTCGAGTTTCCGTTGGGTCTCGGTCTGCTTCTCCGACAGGCGCGACAGGTCGTTCGTGTATCGGAGGTTTTCGGCGCGGACGTTGCGCAGGGTAGCGGAGAGGTTCTCGCGGTGCTCGGCGTCGCGCTTCAGGAGGGGTAAAACAACATCGTCTCAGTACGGGGGGTTTCTTCTCTACCAAGCAATGGGGGAGGGGGGGGTTCAAGGGGAATTGAGGGCACACGCACGTCTCTGCGCAAGATCAAGTCATTGACGATGCTCATGATGCTGCCCATGGTGGCCTCCGTGCCGCCCGGATTGTCTTCCGGGTCGGCGAAGTTGATTGTCTGGCCATCACGGAGGAGTCCTCGCGAGAGCAACTGATTGTTGATGTACAGCGACGCCGTACGCAGGTTTTCGTTGTCCGCCATGGCGGTGGGCAGTGTCTGGGAGTGTTTTTGCTGGAGGGGGATTCGCTCTGGGTCAACGCACACACGCACACACACACACACACATGGGTATGCGGAGGACAGAGGGCGAGGTAGAGGAATGGTTGCTGACTGGAGACGGGAAGCCTCGATAACGTGCCAGGCTTTGATCGGAGCTTATGCAGGACGGACCGGCACCCTTTTTCTGCGAGATGTACAAAGGGCAGGTTTCCCGGAAGAAAGCCGGTGTGGTTGTGTATTTTGGCGCGCGTTGCCATGTCACCCCACGTCGCTAAGTAAACAACAATTTGGCCAACTCATAGCGTCACATCGGGCCCTGGACCGAATCTGCGGGGCTAGCCGAGATCTGCCTAGCGCCTTTCTTGTCACTTCATGCGCACCCTCTGCTTCGAGTCACATCTTCCTCCTCGCATTACTCGAGAGTCTCAATGATATTTCTTTTCTTTGTTCTCTCTTCTTCTTCTCTTTTTGTTGTTTTTGTTTTGTTTTCTTTCCACCGACCGGCCCGCAACCTGGGAAACAAAACAATCTTCTTCCCTTCCCTTCCCTGTCATGGCCTACAACCCGACGGCGCTTGGCCAGTCGGCGGAACCCCTCGTGCACCATGTGTCGGGCGAGGTTTGGCACCCTTTGTGGGAGCAGGAGTGCGTCTTTGGGCCCGACGTCTTTGAAGATGTCATGATGAACCTGGTCAAGAACCCAAACATCAACTCGTCATGGCTGTTTCGCGCGGACATACTCCACGATTCCGATCCGGCCTGGACGCCTCCTCCACCACCACCCCCCACGTCCGACACCCCGGAAGAGGATGCCGCACGAGCTGTGCGGCAGCCCGTCCCTGTTGCCTTCAGGGATTTCCACAACCATCGCCTTCTCGTCCGTAGGCTGATCCCGCGCAATACTCGCCGGGACGACCCCCTGGACCAGACGTGCGTCTTCGCCTCCTGTACCCCGGATGCTACCAAGACCAGGTCCCTGGTCGTCTACCTTCCCCACGTGTCTTCTCCCGACGACCTCCCCTTCTACCACCCCAAGGTCCGGGGTGTCGCGCACCTTCACGAGTGGGATGCTGCGCGCGCCGTGGGAACCGTCTCCATCCACTATCTGCTCTACGACGAGGCCGACCTCGCCGTCGACAAGCTGGTGAGAACTGCCCGCATGCTGCTGCAAGCGCTCTGGAAGCATGGCCAAGGGCGCGTTCAAGGCTACACCAAGCGAGTCCACCATGACCTAGTCATTCCGCAGCCGCGCTTTCAGGACCGCTATACCGCGCTCAAGCTCAAGTATGCCAAGGACCTGGTGGAGAATTGGGCTGAGACGACGGACCCTTCCAAGCATGTCTTTGAGGATTTGGGTATTGCTGCTTTTCTGATCGAGCTCTGGGCGGAAATGTACAAAGACCGGCCCTTCCCCGGCTTTGTCGACATCGGCTGCGGCAACGGCCTCTTGGTATATCTCCTGATACAAGAAGGCTACTCTGGATGGGGCTTTGATGCCAGAGCGAGAAAGTCATGGGCAAAGTACAACTCGGTCCAGAATGGACGAGACTCCCTCCAGGCCCTGGTTCTCCTGCCCGATGTCGTCTCCAGGCCATCCTACGCCCAAGGCGAAGAGCCCGTCCTGGACCTGGCAAAGATGCACAACGGCGCTTTCCCCAAGGGCACCTTCATCGTCTCCAACCACGCGGACGAGCTGACGCCGTGGACCCCGATCCTCGCGACGCTCTCCGAGAGCCCCTTCATCATGATCCCCTGCTGCAGCCACGCGCTGGGCGGCCAAAAGTACCGCCCGCCACCTCCGCGTGACAAGACCAAGTCGCAGTCCACGTATGCCTCGTTGGTCGACTGGGCCGCGCAAATCGCCGAGGACTGCGGTTGGCTCGTCGAGACAGAGATGCTGCGCATCCCAAGCACGCGCAACACCGCCATGTTAGGACGGGAGCGGACGCGGGATGTCAAGGAGGTGAATATCGACGGCGTGCTGGCCAAGTATGGTGGAACGGCGGGCTATTTTGAGAGCGCGGCAAAGTTGACCAAGACCGAAAAGGGGCATTAGATCACACTACTCTTGAAAAGCGAGACCTTGGAAGATACCCCCCCACCATTGGTGCAATGTTCACTATCCTCGTACAACGTTGCCTCTTTTTAGATATAAACAACTGTCAGCAGTGAATTGGTTGACAAACCAGCACAGTGCCTCGAGGGCGTCAGTACCTATACATACACCCATATATATACCTATGCCTGTCGTATCGTAACCGCGCGACGTTGGTCAAATCATCCCAGCCAGCTCCCGGATCCTCTTCCTCGCAGCCTCTCTCACCTCAACAACCACCTCTCCGGCCGGCTTGATTTCGTTGACAAGTCCCACCCCGGTTCCTGCCCACTTCCCAATCATCTTCTTGCCCTCTTCCTCGCTCCACCGCGTGCGCAACTGCTCTCGGCTCTCCTCCACCGTGGCCGTATCGCCACCGAGCGCGCGGGACTCGCTATGGATGGCGCCCACGATGGCCCGGCCGTCGTATACGTCGTTCCAGAGCTTGCTGTCGACGAGCCTATCGTGGAAGTGGGACTTCCAGGTGCTCACGCCGCCGTCGCGCGTCCGCACGATGATCTCCTTGTGCAGCTGCGCGGACCCGGCCTCGTGCGTGGCGACGAAGCGCGTGCCCATGACGACGCCCTCGGCGCCCAGCGCCAGCGCCGCCGCCACGCCGCTGCCCTCGACGATGCCGCCCGCCGCGACGACGGCGACGTCCCGATCGGCGAACTCGGCCGCCAGCATGGCTCTGACCTCGGGCACGAGCGCCACGACGCCGCACCCGCGCGCGAACTGGTGGCCCCCGGCGTCGACGCCCTGCGCGACGAGCACGTCGGCGCCGTCCGCCGCCGCCTCCCGCGCCGCCGCCACGTTGCCGACCTGCACGAAGACCTTGGTCCCCTGCCGGCGGAGCGCCGCGACCATGTCGCCGTGCGGCCTGGTCTCCGGGTCCGGGGCGAAGAGCCAGGCCGCCGCGACGCGGTGGCGGGCGAGGATGGGGACCACGTTGGCGTTGAAGCGGGTCGCCGTCTCGTGGGACGTGATGAAGCCCACGCCGAGCGGGAGGGCGCCGGCGCCGTCGGCGGCCGGCAGCGAGAGCAGCGCGCGCGCCCGGCCGAGGTTCTCCTCCAGGTCCGTCAGCTGGGCGGAGGACTCTGAGAAGTCGAAGCCCGCGGCGATGAAACCTGACGGGAACTCGTCAGTCTCCAGATCGGGCCGATCGACGATGAGTGGCTAGCGTAGCTCCACTCGTCCCCCCCCCCCCCCCCCCCTTCTGAGTCCAAGGGAGAGTGTCCTTACCGAAGCCGCCGGCTTTGTGGACTTCAGTTGCCATGGCGGCGCCCGCCGAGCCGAGCATCGGCGCGTTGATGATGACGGGCGTCTTGAGGTGGGGAAACCACGAGACTAGCCTGGAGGACGACATGTTTTAGGTTGTTTATTTGCCCTTTGTTCTTGCTCGTTTCCTCAACAGCTTAGCTTCTTTTTGTTGTTGTTGTTGTTGTTGCTGCTGTTGTTGTTGTTGTTTTCTTATGAGGGCCGCGAGGCAAAATGCTGTCTCACACAGATGGGCGGGAGGGGGTTTAATAGGCGCGCGCACGAGTGAGACTGACTGTGCGTAAGCAGAGTTCAACCTGGTGGTCCCTAATGTAGGTAAGACAAAGAAGATCTGACGTGCGTTTGTCGTACGGAAGATCTCCGGGAACGCGGCTCCCGCGGGGGAGGCGGGGGGTTTTCAAGGGCGTGTGCCCCCCCCAATCCGTTCCTCTGTCGGTGCGACCTCGGGTATAGGGGGTGCCGATCCAGTATCTCCGCGGAGGAGCGGGGCCGAGACACTCGCCGCATCCGCCGGGGTAACGACTGCGCAACGTGCCACGCCCGATGCAACCAGACCGTGGAAGGCGAGGTCCGACTTGCCAGCATGGCAGATGTTGAAATGTTAAAATATTCAACAGAACATGATCCAAAATTGGTCGTGAACAGAGACGCATTGTGAAAGTTCGGTGGTATGTTGGGGTTCTTCTGCCGGGCCCCCGGTTCCAATTGCATACATAATACGGCTCGCATCGGATCAGCAGATCAAGCCCTCGCGCCCCAATGCCGTTGCCCGGAAAGCCCCAGCGAGAAGGAGGGGGGAGAAAAAAGACGTCCTCTTGTTTCCACAAGAAGATTGATGTCGGACGTTCCCTCGGAGGAAACGAAATGCGTCTAACACGCTGTTGTACGTAACCACAACTAGGCGTAAATAAATGACCGGGTCGGGCAAAGACGTCTATGCCTCCCAACGCCTCCAAGATGACAAGCCGGCCCCATGACCGCTCAACAGTCGTGCCTCTACCGTTCCCCCCCCCCCAAGTGGATACAAAAAGCCGGTCACGCCGCGAATATCTTCAACAGGCCCTCCATCGCGACGTTGCCGCCGCTAAACACCAGCCCCAGGTCCCACCCGGCCTCGCCGGCCTCGCTCTCGACCATGGCCCTGAAGTCCTCGTTGAACAGCGCGACGGCCAGGGGCACGGCGCCGCTCGGCTCGACGACCAGCTTGAAGCGCTCGAGCACGAGCCTCGTCGCCGCCCTGATCTCGTCCTCCGACACGCTGAACACGCGCTCGACCAGGCGGCGCTCGTAGATGACGCCCCAGGGGTGCCGCCCCACCGGCGTGCGCAGGCCGTCGGCGATGGTCAGCGTCTTGACGGCCTCGACGCGCTCGCCGGCCTCGAGGCCGCGCCTGCAGTCGTCGGCGCCCTCGAACTCGGGCTCCGCGCCGAACACCCGGATCCCCGTGCCCTCGCAGCTGAGCGCGACGCCCGAGAGCATGCCGCCGCCCCCGCAGGGCGTCATGATGGCGTCCAGGCCCCGCCCGCCGTCGCGGGAGCGCGGCAGGCCCGTCGAGTCGAAGGTCGGGCGCGCGGCCGAGTGCCCCGCGGCCATGAGGTCGCGCACCTGCTCCTGCAGCTCGAGGCCCATGGTGCCCTGCCCCAGCATGATGTCCGGGTGGTCGTAGGGCGGGACGAGGCGGGCGCCCGTCTCGGCGATGACGCGGTTGGCGACGGCCTCGCGCTCGACCGAGGTGCTGCCGCTGAACACGACGTTGGCGCCGTACCCGCGCGTCGCCGCGATCTTGTTGGGCGGCGAGATGTCCGGCATCACAATGTGCGCGGGGATGCCGCTTTCTCTGGCCGCGAGGGCGAGAGCCTGGGCATGGTTTCCTGTGGAGGTCGTATCAGCCTTTGTCGCATGCACAGCGATGTCTCTCATGCCCCCCGCCTTTATTTCTTTTTGTTCTCTAGGGCGCGACTGCGCAACGGGGCCGCCGTACCTGAGCTGTGCGTGACGACGCCCTTCTCCTTCCCACCGCCCTCGAGCCAGCCGGGCTCCTGCTTCAGCCGCTCGACGGCATGGAACGCGCCGCGGACCTTGAAGGCGCCGATGCGCTGCAGGTTCTCGCACTTGAACCACAGCCTGAGCACGGGCTTCGCCGGCGTGCGCCCTTCCCACTTGGTTCCCCTGAGGTCCTCGGCGCTCCGGGGCGTCGACGCCAGCGCAGTCAGAGTCTTGTTGGTGAGGACGGGGGTGTAGTGGATGTGCGGCCTGACGAGCTTGTGGGCTTCCACGACCGAAGCCCGGGTCAAGGGCGGGCAGGTTGAGAGGTCGGCCATTCCCCGGCTATGATTGTTTGTTTTGTCTGTTTTGGATTGTGCGACGAGTATGAGGCGCTTGGTGGCAAAGAGAACCTGGGTCCTGATGGTGATGAGAAAGAGTGAATTGGGAACTGAGACGCGTTGTGAAGCGGGGGGGGCGGAGAGGCGATGGCGCTGCGGACGGGATGCCGGCATCGGGAAAAGGGTTGGTGTCGCCTGACGCCCTCCGGACGGGTCGACCCCGCTTTTGCTGTCGAGACTCGGCGGCTCGAGGCCCGAAAGAAGGCCGTCTGCGCTTGAGGCGGCGAGGTATTGATGCCGCTGGTTTAGCCTCGGGTTGTTATATGACGCTCACATGAATAATCGAACTCGACCACCATCTTTGGTTCCTACAAGCTCTGAAGATGCATTGTCAAAAAAAAAAGAACACACACTTGCGCCGCAAGAAAGCTCGCACAGGGCCGAAGAACACTCGCTTCTTAGGTATACTGGGGGCTTTCTCTGGCCAATGACACGTGCCAATCCTTTCCGGGTCGATGCATTCTGTGACAAGAAGCAGCTGCTCAATCTCAAATCTTTGTGATGAAAAAAAAAAAACCCCAATTCGTAGGGTTCTTCCACCCGTCATCGGCCGCCGCGGTGTCTAGTGATGTAGGTAACCGGCTCATGCCCCTGCTGAGAACGCCTTAGCCCATTGGACTCCGCTTCTCAATGCCAGGATGACGAGAACCCCGTTCGGATCCGATTACTGATTCTCCGAGGCAAGGTGTGACACATGGCTATCTACAGAGGACCGGGATCACGTCGCCGTCCTCGAACGCGGGGCAATTCGTTGTTGTCGCGGCGCGGGTGGGGGGGGCGGGTTCCTCGGAGGCGACTGATAATCACTAGCTCCGGGCCAGCTCGAGATGATGACTTCACTCTCATCTTAGTTAGATCCCCAAGCTTCCTATTGAGATACTCAAGCAAATTTTTTTTTTCTTTGGTGGGTTTTTCCCTTTGTTTCTTTTCCCCCTTTCTTTTCTACTGCACCAAATCCAGCGTCCGAACTCATCCGGAGTCGACTCCACCATAGCCGCTACCCCTCCATCGGTCCGCAACGCTGACCGACAAATCCAGCCGCGCCGCGATAAACCCGCTCGGCCACGATGGCGAACCACGACGACAAGCTCTCGACGACCTTCTCCGACGCGCCGCTCTCGGACCACGGCCAGAGGTGGTCCGCCTTGTGGGAGGAAAAGTACACGCCCTGGGACCGCGGCGGCCCTTCCCTCGCCCTCCTCGATCTCCTGACGACCCGTCCTGACCTGGTCCCGCCGCCGCCGCATCCCCCGACGGAACGGGAACGGTCCGGCGGCACCGGGCCGACGGCGCTGGTGCCGGGTTGCGGAAAGGGCCACGACGCTCTCCTCTTGGCCAACCTGGGCTATGACGTCCTCGCCCTCGACTTCTCGCCCACGGCGATCGCCGAAGCGAAGGAGAACCAGAGCGCCGTCGCGGCCGTGCTCGGAGCCGGGACGGCAGAGGCGGCGGGGGAGCTCGGCGACGTCTACAGAGTCCGTCACCCGAACGGCGCAGAGCCCGGCACCGTGACCTGGCTCTCGGGCGACTTCTTCTCCGACTCTTGGCTGGAAGCATGGGGCCGCGAGAGGGCCTTCGACCTCATCTTTGACTACACTGTGCGAGAGCCCCCCTCCCCTCCCCCCCTTTCACGCCCGGACCCTCACGGGACGTCGGATCGTGAGGATTGGGTCCAACCAACTAACGTGCGCGGAACCAGTTCCTCTGCGCCCTCCCGCCGGCCGCCCGCCCCCTCTGGGCAGCCCGCATGGCCGCCCTCCTCAGCCCCGCCGGCCGCCTCGTCTGCCTCGAGTTCCCCTCCGGCAAGCCGCTCTCCCTGCCGGGACCGCCGTGGGGCCTGACGCCCGAGGTCTACCTCGCGCTGCTCTCCCGCCCCGGCGAGCCCCTCGAGTTCTCCTCCTCGACGCAGGCCGGCCACGCCACCGACGTCGTCGTCGTCCCGCCCTTCCGCCAGGACGGCCTCAGGCGCCTCGAGCTCGTCAAGCCCGCCAGGACGCACAGGGCGGGCATGAACGAGGACGGCACGGTGCGCGATTGGATCCACGTCTGGAGTCATTGATGCTCGCGATGCTCGCCCGTGCCTTTTGTCTGTCTGTCTGTCTGTCTGTCTGTCTGTCTGTCTGTGTTTGCATATGTCTATACCACGCGAAACGCCCCCTCCTGTGCGTATGTCGTACATAGAAAAAGAAAATCCGTCATCTACACCCGCGAAATTTCTCTACCGCTCTTCTGCCCTGTCTTAATGGTCCCGGTGAACCGACCATCACGCCGTCTTCCGCAGGGAGTTGTAGTGCTCGCCCAGCCCGTACCCGTGCCGATAGTACGCCAGCCAGATCTCCCCCTTTTCCGCCCCGGACTCCTCGCCGGCGGCGCTCGGCCCGATCCTCTCCGTCCGCCCGTCCTGCACGACCCGGATCTCGACCCCGTACACGTTGGCGAGCGCCGCCAGCTCCAGCTGCCCGCCCCACTCGGCCGTGTCCCGGATCTTGCGCGTGTACGCCTCCAGGTCCTCCTCGAGGAAGGGCGCAAAGTCGTCCGGGTGACGCGCCATCCACTCCGCCGCCGCACGCCGCACGACCTTGTACGGCTGCTGCTGCTGCTGCTGCTGCTGCTGCGCGTCGCCCGCCGCGGCGTCGGCGGGCGCCCCCAGCGGGATACCCTTGTGCGCGAGCTGGTCCGCCACTGCCGAGAAGAGGCAGTGCCCGTCCGGGGCGATCTCCTTCTCGGCGAGCGAGTGCGTCTTGAACTCCTTGAGCATGTACGTCTTCTCGGCGCCGCGGTGGTCCGTCATGTTCCGCGCCTCCTCTTCGGCCTTGACGGCGGCCGCCTCGAGCTCCGCCGCCCGCCGCGCCATGCGCTCTTTTTGCCTGTTGCGCTTCTTGCCCTGTCCCTGGCTCGGTGTCTGGGCTTCGTCTCCGGCCGGCGGTGTGGGCGGTGCGGGCTCCGAGAGGGACGTCTCCTTGAGCCTGTCGGCGATCTCGGTGGTGGCGGCGGCGGCGGCGGCGGCGTCGTCCTGCGTTGTGGCGTCCTCCGCCTCCTCCCCGGCGTCTGCATCGGCGGTCGCGCCTCCGCCGATCAGGGTTGCGAGCTCCTCTTCTTGCCGCTCCTTGAGCCGCCTCTCCAGCTCGGCGCATTCCTCGTTGACGCCCTTGCGCGTCTTCTTGGTCGCGTTCTTCTTCTTGCTGGTGATGCGCCCGACGAGGTCGCGCTGCTCTTTGCGATGCCGCGCCTGCAATTGTTCGAGTGTTTCGGCCTCCATCGTGGCTGTTGCCGTCCTGTACTCGAACGGGGAGAGGGCTTCTTGACTGGGTGGTCTCCCCGTGCGGCGGAAGGGTCGTAAAGGAAGGACGTTGACGTGTCAACGTGAAAGAGGAGTGGTGGTCGAGACGGTCGGGGGGAGTACGGTCGATCGTTTCTTAGTAGGGGACTCGTGTCAAGGGGTCGGTTTGTCTGCCGAAGAGAAGTTGTGAGAAGGTCCAGGTGTAGCGGAAGTGCTTGCGAGAATTGCTGTGGCGGGTTTCGGCTGGAAGCTGGCACGTCATTCACTGTACGGATACCATGTAGCTCAAGCTTGCGTGGAGGGGTGAAATTTCTTAGTGGGGTGCACTACGCTGGAATGCGGGGTCGGTGCCCCCCGGAGAACGGCCCCGTAATTTGACTTCCTCCGAGCACAGAACCGGAGACTGCGCTGGGACGAGCGGTCTATGAAACCAGTGATATCCGATGGTTTACCAGCTGTTTCGTAATATGGTGCTCTTTCGGGCTTCCAGATGGAAACACTTTTGATACTCCTCAAAGACGGGGGATGCAAACGTTGTGTAAGTGGCTCTCCTTGTTCGCCATCGAGGCTGGAGGGTGCTGGATCGTCCATGACATGTCACCGAGAGCCAAAGAAACATGGTGCTTTTTCTGCTTTTATGAGACTCATCACTACATCCAGCTGTGCTCTAGTCGTTTGCAGATGCAATAGGAGTCTTCCAGGCTTCATGTTCTATGCCACGCTATCCCGCCAGCCTACCGACATAACAATGTCTGACGCTTGCGATATATCATCTATTACTTCCACCCATCATTGAAGATGTTCCACGACATCATCAATATTTGCCTTAATAGCCTGCGACTTTTTGTTCTGCAAACCCATTATCAAATTTCAACCTCCCCCCCCACGAGCGAGTGCAACTCAACCCGACCGCTACGATGTCTGTCCTTCTGTACATCCAGCATGAGCTCGGGGAAGTCGTTTAGCGACGAAGACGGACTCCAGGGCATGCGGATGTACGGCCGTCCGCGTACAGCATGCTTGGGATCCCTCCACCGCCTCGTTTTCTCCCGATGCTGCTCGAGCGATGTCGGGGAGCTCTGCGTCCTCTGCAAGGAAGAAGGAAAAGAGTGCAGGGCTATAAGCAAACCCCTCTCCATGCATTCCGAACCGCTTTCTCTACTCCTTTCCTCCCCCTTTTCCCAGCACGCATACTCTTTCGAGCGTCTAGAAACCTGACTCCAGACCTCCCCCAGATCCCCGAAGAACTCCTCGGCGTGGCCCAGTGCCTATGGAACCACGCCGGGGGCATCGCCGACAAGCACCTCGACGGCCCTCAGCGCTGGCGTCTCCACCACAGCCTGCAGCGCGCGCGTACGGCTTAGAACGAACTGCTCGAGCTCGTCGGCCAGCCGATGGACCTGGACAACGACGTCGCGGCGAAGCTCGCCGAATTCTCCGAGAACTCCGCGCCCAGGTGCGGGGCGAGGTACCTCCGAATGCGGCTTCGAATCTGCGAGGGCGACCGGGACGGAGGCAAGCCGCGGAAGCGGACGAGGGCACAGAAGAAAGCTGCGGCTGGGAAGTGAGAAGGTTTCGCAGGACACGAGGAGGGGGGGGGATAGGGGGGCGCGGGAGAGTTAAGAGTTTTTCAGAGATACTGAGGCTTTTTTCAGGTTGTACGTTTCGTATTATATACATTTTTTTCTCCAACTTTCTTTTCCTTTTCTTTTCAGCTCTTTACTTTCTCTTCTTCTTTTCCTTTTGACATGCATATGCTGTGAGCGGGCGGCCTGGGCTCTTCAGTCTCGGCTTGTGGGTGTGCTGCTTTCCGACAACGAGAATGCAGCCTTTCCAGGTATATAAGTTTGGTTCGGGTTTCGATCCCAAAACTCTGCTTGAAGTTCAGCCCCCAGCCATCCTGGGACGGCACATCGCATTCACTCTATGCAATCATCATCACCCCATCACATACGAAACGAGATAAAAGACCTATCTTAAACGGTGTTTGATCGACTAAAGCTTGTCCTACAGGGGGCTGTATACAGTATCGAAGACAATATTCATGTACATCAACTGTATCAACAATTTCAATACACCGGCATCGTTCCCATGATGCCCTCACGGTCTGGGGCACGATGGCCTGACCAGAGGTGAAATATCTTGTCGACATATCGGCAGTCAGTCACCTGCCGCCTTCCCTACATCTCTTCAACTCCAAGCACCGAGGTGGCCCTAAGGACTGGTTCCTCCTAGCCAACCTTCCCATACCTTAGTTACACACGAAAAATTATAGTACACAATTGGGTATCGAATGAATGCAGTCCCACGCGCGCGCTCTGGTCCAACCCGTTCGCACCAAGAAACGATACAAGTGACTGAACACGCCCGCGACTAGAAGCCCTTGAAAGGGTCATCTCGGAAGTAGTCGCCAACATTGTAGCCGTCTGTGCCACGCGTGCCACGAGAGCTGTAGCTGTCGCGGTGGCGGCTGCGGCTTTGCCGGCGTCGAAGCTCCTTGCTCCGCCTTCGAGCTCGGTATCGATATTCCTCGTGCTCATCGGGATCTCTGTCAAAACCCGAGTGCGCCAGGGGGCTGATGAAAGCCTCCATCCGCACCGTGCCGATGGCGTCAAAGAAGTTGCCAGCGGGCCGTGAAGAGGCCTCTGAAGTACGCTGGGAGCCGACCGTGCTGAGGGCCCAACTCTGTCTGCTCGAGCCTTGTGATGGCTGAGACTGGTAGATGTCGGATGATCCTGCTGTGCCGACACTATTGCCAGCATTGCTGTTGGTGTAGCTGTGTCCAACGCTGCCCGGTCCAGAAAAGCCACGGAAAGAGAGCGGTGGCGGAATATGGCCTCCAGTGTTGCTTCGCTTCCGTCCGTGAATCATGGCTTGGTTGGACCGTTCAGTGAATCGGGGAATGAAGGGTGGTTCAGCAGCGTCTGCGGACTCCTCGCGCTGATGACCATTGCCAGCGTTGCTTGGCATAGGCGGGAATGTTTCCGCCTGTCTGTAACCGGATGTGTCGCCTGTTCTTGACGAGGGAATGCTGGGAACGCTAGGAACGCTAGGAACGTTGGGAACGCTGGGGATACTGGGAGCACTGGGGATGCTTGCTGGTCCCCCGTTCCTAAGCATAGGAGTCTTGCTTTTTGTCAGCCGGATGGAGTCGCGGATGCCAGGCCGCCTGGCTGGTGGTGGCGGCTCAAAGTCCGGCACTACTGTTTCTTTCACAGGCCGAGGAGAAGCTACGATTTCTGGAACCTCTTGGGTCGAGTGTGCCAGGAAAGAAAGCGCCGTGAGCCATATGTAATGTCGCTCGGAAGACGTAGCAGTGAACTTTAACGCTCGTTGTGGAGTCAGGATAAGGATTGAACGGTTGAACACAGCACCCTGGTTTTTGGGAGCGGGATTGTCATCCTTGACATCGAGTACGGACTGAATCGTCACTGCTCATCGTTAGCCAGCTTCCCGCGGAAGGCTCGGGAGCTTTCACTTACGTTTCCGGCCAGACTTGCCCATCAAGGCACTGCCGGACGAGGGCTGCTTGCTGCTCCAGAGGATGGCCCTTTCATAGGGTGCTAGCCAGACCCATCGCTTGTGGCGGTCGTTGCTGGAGTCGTCCCTGCCACTGTCAGGCATTCCAAAAGACTTGCGTCTCCGGACGTACTTGAACATCCATTCGCCAACCATGGTCTGCGCGATAGCGTCAACAACCCCCGTGGCTTGCGAGGCGCCATTGGAAGCCCCGTTGACAGAATTGTGCTCCGTGGTAGTGGTCTGAGCCGTTGTAGTCGACAGCTTCGATCTGTGTGACCTGTAGTGGGAGCTCGCGTCGTGCCGAGGGGTAGTGATGTCGTTGTAAGGAAGAGGCGGCAGACTCGGGCTCTCTGGCCCTTCGGTCGTCTCCGAGAAGGGCGGCGGGGATCTGCTGCCTTGTCTGCGGTTTCTCTGGTTCCGAGGAATGGCGGCCGCTGACCGAACTTTGCGAATGCTGCCGGCACGATAATGGCTGCGACCGACGCCCCGGCGATGCCATGGCGCGTCCATCTTTGTTGGGCTCCGCCGACCATCGCTCGGAGCACTGGCGCTGAATGGCGGTCGTCGAGAACTGGCCCGAGTCGGGATAGGGAAGGGGGGGTCGCGGGGCTCCGGGAGACTGGGGCTCCTGGGGCGGCCCTGATGGCTGGCGATGCCGCTCTGGATCATGGCTGCCTTCCGCATGATATTTTGCTTACCCGACGAGCCGGCAGTCGACTTCTCGTAACCCCGGGCCGTAGATTTCGCTGGCTGCTTTTTGGCGGCTGTCTCCCTTTTCTCCAGCGTGTGGCTGTAGCTCTCGGTTCCAGAAGGACGCGCCGAGCTCCTGCTAGGTGCGGCCATCTTGGCCGGCTCCGGTGATGCCGCAAATGTGCTTACGGATGTGCGGTTGGAAGCTCGGGAATCCGTCATCCTCATTCCGGGAGCGGAGAGCGCGGTTCGGTACTCGGAGTCGCTCACGTCAGCATCGAACTCGTCCTGCTCGTCAGAGCTTTGGGCGTCCTGGAACCCGGCGAAGAGGCTGCTGATGCGGTGCGGTCGTCGCATGGGCGCGCTGTGTGACAATGGCCCGTCGTCGTTGTTACCGGGGTATGCGTCACGGATTTGTTCTCCAATGCCGGGCAAAGCCGGTGGCGACGAGGGTATGTCGGTGATGCTGCGCTTGGTGTTGAGTCTCTTGGGGTTTCTCGGCGGCAGATGACCGGGAACAGGAGTAAATTGCCGGTCATCGTTGGTTGAAACAGCGGTGGCAATGACGGGCGACGAGGGTCTTGACGTGATGGCCGAGGGGCGCAAATGAACAGGGAGATTTGCCAGTCGTTTATCTGAGAGGATCTCTTCTGTCTGGGCAGAAGTGGACCGCATTTCAATCGAGGAGACGATGGATACCTGGCAGCCAAAGTCTTTGAAGTACTGAGGAAGCCGGGGCTCTCTTGGTGTCGTTGGACGACTTGAAGGCGGAATGATGCTGATGCTCGGAATGGTGAGCTCCTGCATCGGCCGTAATAGAGGAGGCATCTGCAGCTTCTCCGCGGACTGGTCCGTCTGTGTCGAGGCCGAAACCATGACAGAAGGTGGGGTTTCAGGAAGAGGCGGCGTCAAAGACCTGTAGGGTGATTTGGGTGTCTTGGGAGGGCTCAGAGGTTCTTCGACCGTCTGAGAGCCAGCTGAGACCATGTGGTTGAAGGGGCGCGGCTCGATAGACAGTGGTCGGCTGACATAGACCCGCTTGCGCCGTTGATTGGCCTCCACCTCCCACTCACCTCGGGGAGCAGCCTCGGCTTCGGGGAGTTTGTCTACCTTGACGGTGGGTTCGGGAGTGGTTGGCTGAACTGGCTCTAGCTTGGGCGACGGAGGAGGCGAGTACTGGATGCCTGAGTCTGTGTAGGTGAATTTTGGTGCCGCCGGCGGCGGCGGCGGCGGCGGGGGAGAAACAAGTTTCTCGTCGTCTTCTTGGATACCATCTTCCAGGGCCTCCAAAACTGGCTGGTTCATCCAGAGTCTGCCTCGAGTCACGCTTCCCGGACGCTGAGGGCTTTCAAAGCTTTGGTTCCTGCGGTGCATCCTCGACAGAACGCTGTCACGACTAAATGTCCGGGTGTGGCGGTAACTCGACATGGCGCTCTCGCGTCCGCCGTCGTCGGTTTGCCAGTCGTCATCACCGTCGAGGTTGAGTTCGTCGGCTAGGGAGTTGCCGTTGAAGACCTTGCCGGGACTCTGCTGGGTGGAATATCGGATGCTGTTGGTAATGCTCATGGTTCGGACGCTCGCTGCGTCATTATCCATGTGGTCTTCTGCGTCGCTGTCGTGGCGGTTGGCCTGAGCAGCCTGGTAGGCGGCGACCTCGTCCAGAACCGTCTTCAAGCGACTCTCGGCAACGTGGACTTTGCGTTCATACTTGCGCTTCTCTTCTTCCCAGGAGTCCTTGTCTTGGGCCCATAGGTCGTGAACCCTTTGCGAGTCTTCTTCCTGGCTTCGAAGCTTCCTTTGGGCGGCCTCAAGTCTCTTCTTCGTTTCCGTGACCGAGTCAACGGCCTCGTCCCTCTGGCGCGCTAGTTCGCCAAGTGCCGAGGACGTGCCGCCCTCGAGAAGAGCCAGCTGACGTTTCAGCGAACGGTTTTCCTTTCCGGTAGTAGCCATCGACTCCTGGAGTGACTCCTGCTCCTGGCGCGAGGTATGCAAAGATACCTCGAGGTTTTCGATGAGCTTTGCCTTGTCTTCTTGATCCCGCCTCAGGTTCAGGATCTCGGCAACAAGGTTGGCGTGTAGAGTCGGCGTGAAACGACGGGGATCAAGAACGCTGATGCCGTCATCGTTGGTCATATTTCGCGAGGAGCGTCTGGAACCCTTATCGTTATGCGGAACGGGAGGAGGTGAAGGGCTTCTCTTCCCATTCGGTGGGGTAACTGAGCGTCTGGACTTTCTCGAGCCTCGCGATGGTGTTCTGTAAGGCGTGTCTCGGGGTGTAGGCAATGCCGTCACGGCGGCATCGCCGTGGGACTCGTCCTCTGTCTCCCAGACGGCCATGTTGACTGACTGGCGGACGGAGGGAAGGGAAAGTTCACAAAGAGATGGCGAGGGCGCGGCGGTCCTCAATTGAACCCCTCAGGAAAGAGGTGTAAGCAGTCAAGTAGTGGTTGATCAGCTATGGTTTCGAGGGGCAAGGGTCGAAAGTAGGGATCAAAGCACACA